CCTGCCTCCCTGTTTCTTATGTGAAACTATTTCACTTTATTAATAAATTTTTACTTCTTTGCAGGGGAAATCTGTGCCCTGAAAAGTCACATGGACTTAAATATAATCATAGTAACTTTTCAAGGTCTTCTGATCTTCCAGTGAACCTAAGACAAGAAACTTGTTTCCCTCAGAGGTATCAGTGTCAAGATAGTGAGTTCTCGGCTTGCAGCGGAATCTGGGAGCCTGCCTTACATCTGTTTGGATCATACCACCTCGGTGCACAGCGAGACAGAGCTGCGTTTCTCTGTGTAAACAAGCAGTTGTCATGAGTTCCTCTGTCACTGTAAGGCAGTTCAGGGTGCCCAGTGGTTAGGTCATTAGGGAGTCTCTTTACAGATGTCTTCCCAAGATTTAAAGGCGAGGCTGCTTGCTAGGGTACTCTCATTCTAGATAATAGACTACCAAAGGGAAAAAACCTCTGGAATGTGTTCACATCTCCGGATGCAGCTGCACGGTGCTGACGTGCAGTTGAGTAATCCCAACACACTGAGTCACCAGACACACAGCTCTCATCACCCCCCGCCACCCCGCTCCTCTCCCCTGCCCTAGCACAGGGACTGACGGCAGGCTGCAGCAGAGTGACATGCGGTTTTGCTGTATGTCTGCTGTGGCCTTCCATGTGTTCCCTCTGTCTGTCCTCAGCATGAGTCTTTCACCTTGATCCCAAAAGTGGAAAAGCAGCCCTGTACCGTGAAGCACTGTCCTAACCTGGGGTGCGTGGTGGAGTCGTGCACTCCATGTCCGTGGTGAAAATGGGGTAGTGCTGTAAGAGCAAATAGAGATGCTGGATCGAGGCATGTGATATATAATCACTGCTTTCACAACTCATTTAATTAGCTTTGACCTTAACTTGAAACGGGCAAGTTGCAGTCCTGTGTGCTCCAGTAATGCTGTTCCTCAGCATCTGACGAGTTCTAGTAAGGCTATCTGCAGCTGGCGCTGCTTGTGCGAAGCTGCAGCGGGCTGTGTGAGGTGTCAGTCCCTCTGCCAGTGCTGTCTGTACGGATGACCCTCTTAGCAGCGCTGCAGGGATATCAGCCATGTTCTGGTTTTGTGTGCATTTCTCTGGACCCAGGGAAGCCTTCGGTAGAAAAATGCCATTCCCTGCAGCCTGTTGGGGCCTTAAATTTTTCATAGGTGTTAATGCTTGTGTTTTGCTAAAGACCTGGCTGTGCTATGGTCATCCTCTGCAACTCATGTCTATACCCCCAAAACGAAGGATCCTTTCCTGTTCTATAAGGCAGTTTTCATCAGCAGCTCCCCAAGTGCTTTGTTAGGACTAGGAATCAGTAAAACTCATGGTGGCTTGAGTGTTTCTGGGGACATTTCCTGGGCTGCTTCGTGGCCCGTGTGTTCTCAGCCACCAGATTGTTCCCCTGCTTCTCTGAAATGTCCGTAGATGTGCCCTTTCAGACGTACTGTACTGAGCCCTCGAGCCAAGCGGTTCTTTGCACTGCCTCGTGCGGTCTCTGGCAGTGCATTTGGGGAGGGGGGGGGCAGGGAGGTGCACTGCTTTCTCCCCATAGCTCTTGCAGGCAGCCAGCTCTTGAGCTAGAGTTGGTTGATTTGGGGAGTTTCCCCTTAGTCTGGTGCAGGTTACTGAGGAGGCTGCAGGGCCGTAGCTCCCTCTCTGGCTCTGATGAAGCTCTGTCACCGATTGCGGCGGAGCTAACGATTGCTGTGCCTGAGCCAGACTGCTTTGCCTGAGCCAGACGCTGCCCCTGCCGTGCGATGGTGCTGGGGAGCGCGGGGATCCCGGGGGAGCCCTGCCCAGCCTGGGCTGGGTTACCTGCTTGGGGTGGCCTGGAGCATCACCCGAGGGCGGGTTATCCAGCAGCCCCGTCCCCTCTGTGCCGCAGGTGGAGCGAGGGGCTCGGCGGTGTGGTCGGAGGCTGACGGGGGCTGTGCGTGGGTGCTGAGGGTGCTGGTCCCTGCATGGCCCCAGCTCCGGGCTGCTGCGTTTGCTTGGCCCTTCGCAGGGGCTTGTGGCCCCCACCAGAGCAGCAGCCCCAGGTGCTGGGTTTGGGGAGCTCAGAGGGGCTCTGCCTGCCTGCCTCGGTGGCTGGGGGGGTACTTCAGCCGCTGCTGGTAACGCTCCACGTGCCCAGGGCCTGCTCTGGTTTGTGCGGGGGAGATGGTTGCTTCGGGCCAGGGAAACACCCAGACCTTACGGCGCTGTGTGCCCGGTTGATGTAACAGCCTCTTTGCTGGTGTGCTTTTTTTGGCTTCTGCATAATTAGGGAGATACGAGCTGGCTGAAGGGGGGAACCACTCGTGGGGACAAGGCTTCGACGAAATCAAACCAGAAGAAAGCTGTTGTGTTCCCACTGGAAGACATGTACCAAACCAGGGGCTCCGAACTGGGACTGGAGTTTTCAGCAAAGCCCTTCAGGAATTCATTCAGAAATGCACTTTCTGACTTTGGCCTTAATCAGGCTACTAATTCCTTTATTCTTGATTCCATAGAATTTGAAATTGTTATGGCTCTTTATAAGGATTAGGCTTTTTTAATCTATTCTGTGATGGACATTTGTGTCTGTATATAACATGTATAAACATACACCGCGTCTTGTAATTGGGATGGAAAAAATTAATCCTAAACAAGCTGTTGACTAAACTACAAAGGACGGAGTTCAAAGGGATTAGAAAAAAAGTTTGGAAGTGACTAAAGGGAACACTTAAGGACTTCATTTAGCTTTTTAATTTCTCTAAATTGCTGATGTTTTTCTCAGGAAGAAAGCAATGCAATTATAAGAGCTTCATCTAAAACTGCCCACCCACCCACCCAGCTGATAAAGACTGTCTGGATTTGTACATTTCTTAGGGAGCAAGGGAAGGAGTAAACCATCAGGATTTAGCTTAGAAAAGAAAATTCTTGTGCTGTAAGTGTACCTTCAGAGCTATATGAGTTTAAATGGGATGGTGTCTGCTCTGTGGAGTGCAGAACCCAAAGTAGTGCAATTGCTGCAGGGCTGACTAGCTGCTACGTGCTAGATAAATTGACATATAAAAGGTAAAATTGGCTAAG